ACTCCTCCTGCCCCACCTAAAAAAAAAAAAATTAATCGGTGGGAAGGTCTTAGGTGAGCATGTGTAATGTTTGGTTCACGTTATCTGAGAACACTACCTACTCAGTTTGTGCTTCTTCCTGCCAAAACCCGGCCAGGTTTGCTGCAGCAGGGTTTTTTTCCAGCCATGCCTCCTCCTGCCCCTGGCCTACTGCCAGCTGTAAAACGCTCATAGCACAGAAGTGAGGTCACTGCCCTCTGCACTTTATTTTCTCCCCTCTTCCCCTAAAGCTGTCCAAGACGACCTATATTCACCTGGCACTGGGCTCCGCTCATGCTGAGTCAATTCTGCTCATCGCTTTGGAGTACAGCAGAGACACATTTGTGTTGGCTAGTTCTGGCAGGAGGTGGGGGGAGAAAAAGAAGGAGAGAAAGAAAATGGGGGTGGAGGGCAGCCAACGCTAATATTGAAAGCTCATCAGCATCTCTGTCACTGCTGTCCCGTAAGCATACGTGCTCTGCAAAGGCAAAACTTCGGCAGGGAACAGCTTTCTACAGACCCAACCCAAAACATGATGAGATACTAAGCATGTCAAGATTTAGCCTTTTCCCTTTCAAAACCAGTATGTTCCCTTGACCTTGCACTTGCTAACAAGAGTCCTAAACACATAACAAAATAATAAAGCAAATAGCAAATGTGTCACATATAGCTCTCTTTTCTCAAGGGGAAGAAAAGTGGGATGGAAAAGAATCCAAGTGACTCATTCCAATCCAAGCTAGACTCTCAGTCCATGCTGCACGTCGAATGGACAAGTCCTGTCTCTGTTTTCAGACACCACCTTTGAAATGGGTCTACTTTTCCTCGGCTATCACTTCACTGATAAACCACCAGACTAAACAGCCTCCGCAGGCTGCACTGAAGACGAGTCCCTGGCTTTCTGTTTGACAACACATTTTCTATTTATTGACCAATTATTTTATGCTCTTGCTGTGCACTGCATTGAGGATCAGGCAGGGATTCTGACCGCGCAGGAAAGTGGGGTATGAGCATCTTAACAAACACGTGTGTTCAGCACATTTTCCTTCTTTAAGACTAGTGTGGATGGTGTATGGTGAGCAACAGTAGCAGAGCTGGGGCAAGCGGAGGTCTTCTCTTACTGACATGGCACCCTCTATTACCTAGTCACATTTGGGTAAAGGCAGAAGGGGACAAAGAAGGAGAAGATCTGCTGGGAGCTCAGACAGTTAGTTCTGTATTACCAGAAAGTACCAAACCCACCAGCAGTCGAGCAGGAGCCCAGACATACCAGTGCTTGCACTCCGAGTAATGAAAACAGCTGTGATGATAGCTCTGTCAACAAACAAGGGCTTTATTTTATTTTCCCTCCTTTCCTCCTCCCTTGACCTACCTCCTTCCTCAGGGTGCAAAGTTCATCTGCGAGGGCCCAGGGAGAGACGTGGGAGCAAGGGTGCTCGTGGCTGTTGAAATAAGGTCGTCGAATGAACAAATCCAAACTCAGCCCATGCCCTATCATGGACGTGTCATTTTGCAAAGGTTTCTGCTCTCTTTTTCGGACCCTGCGTTGGGTCCCCGCCTCTGCGCGGCAGCAGGGACTGCCCAGCAGAGACACGGGCACGCAGGGGAAGGCAGGGATGCTCACACACTTAGCTCCTCGCTGCTTCCTTACAAACCACGTTTCCCAGCTGCAGAACCACCCCGCTGCAGTCTTCTTCCTCCTGTGCTGTCCCCTCCAACTGCTGTTCAGAGAGCAGCCCATTTGTGCCTACGCTGAGGTTTTTAATGGAATAATTGTGACAGTGGTGACGTGCGATTTTTTTCAACCTCGCTGGTGGTGCTTTGTAGTTCAGCAGGCTGATGTGTAGATGCTGAGGTTTCTTGGAAAAGCGTTCTTAATGTGGGATGTCTCTGGAGGCCTAGAGCAAATGCTGGCTATATCATCATCTTCTTCAATATTTTCTCTTTGCCAGCGGCTTCTGTTTATTGCTGTTTCGGCAGCTGGGCCCTCACCATTTAGCCCCAGCAAAGGAACAGAAAAAGAAGAGCAGCAACAACACGTCAGTGGTAGCAGGGTAATAACAGCAGTGGAAATGTACGGCGAGATCTGGGGGCTGAGGGCTGCATGTGGCACCCCTGTGATAAAGCAATAATAAACTTCTTAAGCTCTGTCAGTTACGTCTTTTTCACTGGGTGCAAGTTATGTGATACATAGCAGACACAGGAAACAAGTCTTCACCTTGAATATTCTCTGTGTGGCATAAGCTGGCAAAAATAGCCTCTGCTCTCCAGTTGCAGGGAGTGAGGGAAATGCACGCTCAGCCTGGCTCTCACACGCAAATCCCTTCACCTCCCACCCCATTTTTTGGAAGGCCTTACCACATGTGGCTGTGGGAAGCAGTCCTTCCCAATGACATTTTCTTCAGCTTCACAGATTTTTCTGGAGGAAATCTCAGCTGCTGTCTGCAGCAATAACTTTGCTGCCTTTCTTTCCATTCCCCACTCATGGAGAGAGCAGTGGGGTGAAATTAGCCATGACGGAGAAAGGCTCTTAAGGAATTTGGATAGGTCAGCAGAAGTGGAAAGCCAGGATACAGACTGCAGCAGGACATGCATTCTGGAAGGATAAACTGAGATTTGCAGCATTACTCTTTGCTTCTGCTAATACCTGGTCTCCAGTCTTTCTCAGCTGCAACTTTCAGCCTTGATCATCTGCATTTTTTAATAGCTGTTCAGGGCAAAAGCAAAAGCAAAGGTTTTTACAATGGGATTTTCTCTAAGGCTGGTGGATATGCTTCTACAGCTGCAAAATCTGAACTGGAAGAAATAATACATAAAATGAAGAGTTTTAAAACTAAAACTTCGAGTGAACAACAACTTTACACTACTTGCCATTTTTAGAGGAAATTACATAAACAGATGTAGCATGTTCTGAGTCCACGTGTTGTATAATGTAGACAATCTCATGTGCTGGAACTCTGGACACTGAACCACCACATCCTGAGGGGTTCATAGGATCACATGATGGCTGAGGTTGGCAGGGACCTCTGGAGGTCGTCTGGTCCAACCCCCCTGCTCAAGCAGGGCCACCTAGAGCTGGTGGCCCAGGAACATGGCCATGTGGCTTTTGAATAACTCCAAGGGCAGACTCCAAAATCAAATGAAGATTAAATACTTTCCAATTGGAAGAGGATAACCAGGTCCACTGGACATACCGAAACTCTTCTCTTCCAATGGCCTTAAACAAAATTAATTTTGCACACTTGCAGATGAAGGCATGGCCGATACTGACCACGAAAACCTTGCCCTTGGAATACTCTGATACTCATTTTGGATTTTATTTTTGGCTCTCTTAAAAAAAAAAAAAAAAAAAAAAAAAAAAGGAGTAGGGGAAGAAAAAGGGGTCATTTCTAATATATAAAGCAAACATATTCTTCTGATGGAAATGAATAGATCTGAGGAGTTCCTTACGGCACAGCAGGACCACATACAAAACAGCTACCTAGATAAACATTTCATTTTGAATACTAACATGCTTTGGCATCCAGGAAAATTGCTCAGCACTTTTCATACTTTCAATATAATTCCTATTGCTAATACATAAAATCTCTATGGAGCCATCTTTGCTTACACAGTTTAAGAGAGTGTCTAGAGATACCAAAAAATGATTTCCCAAAAGGTCTGCAAAACCATTACTTAAATTTAGGGCTCAGTTCAATAAAGAATTATGCTGTGTTACGGTTTCTATGGAATTTAGTAATAAAAAGTTCAGACTGTACTAAAAACTAATTAATTCTGTGGGTTTGGTATTCATTGAAGGCTCTCTCCCCTGTGTGCCAATAGCTAACATTATGCCCTGAAGGGCGTGCATGCCAAAAAGGTGGAAAAGGATATTCTGAGCTGAAAAGACTATAGCACAGTAGGTCTATTAAAAAAGGGAACACTCTCAAATAGTTCAAAAGATAATAGAGCTGCCTGCAGGCAGCTTTAACTTGCATTCTGGTCAATTACATGCAACTATTTATTACACTGGTTAAAATAAGTACTTACCACATCAATCTGGGCTACATATGGTAACCATGTATCATCTAGAGATGAAATAGGCTCAAAAAGACATTATCAGCTTTTGCAGTACGTACATTAAGCTTTTGTAGTGCCTTCCCATGCAAATCTTTGCCATCTACATGTTAGCAGCTACAGGGATTTTTCTGAGACTTCATAATGGTCACTCAGAGCACCTGAGATTCTTCAAAAAGCTGACAAATGTTAAAAAAAAATAAGCCACCTGAGCTGAAGGCAGTGAAGGCACCAAAACAGGAGGTATTTTTCTCATGTACTGGTTCCATTTTTTGCCACCAAAGTCCTCCACTCAATGCAGCTCTTAGCAGTAAACATTTCTAATCTGTGTGGGGAGGGAGATCTTGCCCTGAACTGATACTGACCCACACAATTTCTTCGTGCTGCCCACATTATGTTGTTTGGATGCAGCCCACAAATATTTTTGTTTGAATTGCAGCTTGGCTCCCACAGCCACGAGAAAAATCTTTGAATGACAAGTAACTTGTCTATTGAATTGAACACTTGTCTTCATAGAAATAGGAATGTTTAAAAAACAAAAAGGATTCTGATTCTTTTCATTTTGAAGAGTGATTTTTTTGGGGGGGGAAAATAATGTTATTTTGCATTTCATACCAAGAATGCCAGAACACCAGATAGACAACAGGAAGTATCCAATACTAGTGCTAGCAACTGTGCTTGTAAAAATATCTAAAAGGCAACTTCTGAAAAAGGGGAAGCTTTAAATTACAGGCAAGAATTTTTTTTTTTGGCTATTTTTAGACACAGTTTTTGTTTTAAATATCTGTTGGAAGCCAAATAACCAAACTGATTTGCACAACCACATCATTATTTTTTTTTCTCGTTATGGTTGTATGTCTTCTCTGCTACATACCAAAAGCCATTAGTACCGGTAAAGGAGCTGAATGCAATTTCTTAAGTAATTCATGTGGGAGATCGCTTGCTTCAGTCAGTTTATTTTTGAAAAAAATACTACATCTCAAGGAACTCAAAGATGGTGCTCTGCACAGATCAGAGTATCACCCAAGGTCCTAGCCAGCTTCTTCTATGTTGATTTGTTTTTAAGGGTAGGGCAAAACATAAAAAGCTTAAAAACTTGACAAAATACACCAAACAGAAATACCGCCACAGGCTGTTACAGCATTTCTTTGCATACTGGCAAAATGTGCCTTGCAAGGCAGCTATCTACCTTTTCGGTGAGATGCTGTTTTTCTCTTTCAGAAGGCTCATGAGATAGCAATTAAAAAAAACCCACAAGGTGAAATACTATCTCACTTTCATGAATCCAACCCTTATTTTCCTATGTATGGTTACATGACCAGCTATTGGTGTATATATAACTTTCTTCCCTCTGTGAAACTATTTGAAAGGAACTGGTTTACAACTTTAGAAAAAAAAAAAAGGCTCAGCATTTATTTTTTTTTTTTTTGCCAACAAATCTTTGCAGGCATTACAATTGCATTAGCAGTTAAAGTATTGCAATGAATCTTGACCTCACAAAGCTTTCTGTAGCCATCTGTCAGGAAATCTGCATTAGCCTGGAGTAAGCATCACTTCACGTACACTTTTTTTCCTTACTCTTTAAGGTTAAAAAAATTCAGTTTTAACGATGATATGAACTCATTAGGTAGAAATTAGGAAGATGTGCAAGAATACACACAGGGCTGTTCAGCTAATACATTTCAGGGTACAGCTTTAAACATCTCATTAAGGTGACTGGCTGCCTCAATCCTGGCAAGCTGCATATCCAAACCTTTCCACGTCAGAGTTTCAAGACATTTTCCATTGCTGGCAGGAGCAAGGGTGGTTGCAATTCATGGGGCAGGAGAGGAATGGGCTCCTCGGCCCCCCAGTCTCCCCTCCATCAGCACAAGCCCTGGTCCCAGAGGCTGGAAACCCACTGCCCTCAGTTCCCAACCCAACAGGAAATAACAGCGCTGATCGTTTCTTTTTTCTACAGTGACATCAAACATTTATAGTGACACATATAAGAATATATTATATATTTATATAAATATATAAAATATTTATATAAAATATATAAATAAATATACAAAATATGGCATTACTTTCCAGAGAGATGTTACATTTCACAAGCCACCTTTCCTTATCCAGATTTCATTGTCATACAGAATTTGTCATGAAGTTCAGTAAACAATCAGCCTCAAAAAAAAAAAAAAAAAAAAAAAGTTGCCAAAGTCTTCCTTATGTGAAAGCATCACATACCAGCACAAAACCAAATCCCTTCCCTTCCAATTAAAAGGACGTATAATATCATGGCAGAACACTTGGTTTAAATATTTAAACCTGATGGTTCTTACTCTATGCTTAGATGCAGGCAAATAATTTCTACCAAAGTCAAAGCAAGCAACAATTGTGTGCAGCGTAAATGAAGCACATGGGTCTCAACACCCAGGTCCACCATCCCCCCCATCTTGTCAGCACTGTCACAAACAGGAGTTCCTCATACAGAATATGTGCTTTGGTAGAGTGTACAACACAGAATAGATACAGCTTTTCAAAATAAATAAGCAAATAGAAAGGGTGGTACTGTAATGGCAATCTTTCGTCCATGAATATTCTCTATTGGTGTGAGAGCAGGAAATGTAAGCCCTGTTGCACAAACTGAAGCGAAGGACAGACAGAAGAATGCTTTACTGAGAGCTTCAGTGCAACTGTTATCCTTTCCAGTGGCATAATTCAGTAATGGGTACATTAGAAATACCAATAAAAAAAAAAATTAGAAAAAAAATATTATCTTGGTATGTGTAGTTACTTCAAACAACAAAACTTAGTATCTTCTGGAAACACTTCCTTTGCTCCACAAATTCATTTCTATTATCTAGAATAGGTCAGCGAGTATGCATATGGATCTATACATATTTGTAAATCATTCCATACCCTTAACTTTCTCTTTGCATACAGAAGTATACACTAGAATTATTGTGTAGTATTTGGTATTCACATGTGACATTTAAATAAGGTTTATTAAAAAACAATTATATTAAATACAGACTAACAGAATATTCATAATATATTTTACAGAAAAAAATACCCATGTCTTTATTTTAGAAATACGTTTCTTTAAAAAGTTCGAGATTTTTTTATAAAACTTTTTTACCCGTGAAGTTTCCCCTCAGACCTGTAAAAAAATGCTTAACCTTTAAATCCTTGTGGTTTTTTTTTTTGTTTTGTTTTTATTTTTTTTTTGTTTGTTTTGTTTTTGTTTTTTTTTTTTTAAATACTTTTACAAGCTTACAATCTATAAATTCTTTACAATTGAAAAAAAAAACCCAGTATCTTTCGGGATCAGATTGGTCACAGGCTGTTCTTTAAAAAGTCAGTGGAGACTCCCTGAATCCATTCCGAAGTGCCTCTCGTTCTTCTCTCTCTGGGTGTCAATAGTGCAGGTTGACGTCGGGATTCGGAGCTCCCTGCGTGTCCCACGGGAAGCCCAGTGCCCGTGGAGGCTGGTGGCTCCCCAGCCGCCTGCTGCGGGAGGCAGAGCTCGGTCCTCCGCGCCCAGCGCAGCCCGCGGCCTTTGCCCAGCCCCCCCGGGGTCCCTGCGAGGTCCGGTGGCCACGCACAGATGCCAGAAGAGCTGGCACCCCGCCCTCATTTGCTTTCCAAGTTGTAGCAGTGGACATCCCCCTTCCCCTTCCCATCGTACCCGGGAAGCGGCTGTCCGTACTTATCCACGCACCAGCAGTAACCTCTTTTTCGGCCTTTGGATGGGCGACACTGAAACACAATAAAAGACCCCATTAACGTTTTTTTTTTTTCCCCTCTTAAGCGTTCTATAGCAGGGATACCTGCTCATTTGATAGCTGGCCGTATCCTGGCTGCGTCTGACAGAATCAGAGTATTTATTACCACTACGAGGTATTACAATAAAAAGATTCCCTGCTCTGCCTGTCAACTCCTTTGGGTCTAATTACCCCACCATAAAGCTGCTCAGGGAACTATCAGAAAACAGCCTTACGAACTACACTCCCGCTATTATATTAGGCAGCACAGTTGCCCCCTTTGAATACCAGGACTACTTACACCAGTATGGGCTGATGACTGGGGCCCAAGTTTGGGAAAGAAAGTTAACACATTTGTTCTACGCTCAAGCACAGGTCTGGCAAAGACGGCCACTGCAGCAATAAACACCCTCGGCTTCCATCTGTTTGCTGGAAGAATTTCAATACCGTAGTTGACATTTATTAACAGATACATAATCCTTCCGTAATAGAGTTATCACTTCAACAACTGCTAGGCATATTGGAACTTTACATGTATATTTTCCTATAAATAAGGTTGATTATATACTGTAGACTATAGGCTACAGTCTATAACCTGTGTCAGCTTTAGAAGTGGCCTGGTGGAATTTGCTAGCAATGCTGACCAACCTGAAACTACCACAGGCGACGACACCAAGCTTCTTTAGGAACAACAATGCCATAAAAATGCATTGTGAAGTCTAGTATGTGCTAAGTAATGCTCTTCCCAAAGAACCAAGAATGGTAAAAACTAGACAAAAGGAGATTACATCCTGCAGGTTGCATTCAATATGCAACCCTGGACAGAGCTACATACTGTGAACCTCTAGGACCCCACAAGGTCTTCACCCATTTGAAAGACACGTGTGTCCAGAACACAGATTATCTCCCTAGGCTTGCCAGTGTCAACCTCACTGCCAAGACACACAGCCTCCGTGTCAGCTGAATTTTCAGATTTGGAGACGCGGGATTCGCTGCAAATGGTAAGAGAGGTGGCTGTTCAGTCAAGACAGACTTACAAAGGAGGCAGTGACACAAATACACCTCACTTTTCTAAGACTTTCAAAGACTAAGGTTTCATCTGTTGCCTCACCAACATGAAGGAAGATAGGCTAGACTGAAGCCACTTACGGCCCTCAGCACCATAAAGGCTATCATGCAAGCAGAGTAAATGCCTCCTGAGATCACACTCCTGGCAATTCAAGTATTCCAGAGGTTCAGGCCGGTACAAGTCAGGTGAACTTTGCCACTACTGCTCAACTGCTTGTTCTCCAGAACCTAACAGGCACGTCCTCATCTCCCACGTGGCTACATCAGTGGCTCGCACAGCCAAGTGTCTTTTCCGTGTGCAGGTACTGAAGGAAACCTCAAGCATGTGCTGGGCTTCACCTGACCCTTTCTGCATCTAGTTTAGCACCTCAGGCGAAAGGGTGGCATTCTGAACAGAACTGTCAATATGGGACACTCAGCCTGGACCAGCACACTGGCCCCTGAGGCTACTGATTTGCAGCAGCAGGGAGTAGGGCAGACGGTCAGTGGACACTAGGAACTTGTGAATGAGAGATGGGAGCAGCTATCACACATTCAATACTAATTTTTGAACCAGCTTCCATCTTGTTTATTTTATTTTAGAGCAAATGAAATAATGTTCGTCACTAACTGCAAGTTAAATTACCCTTGTGATATATTTTTGAGTAACGAGTCCTATGCAGAAATAATAGAATGCCTTCTCTTCCTTGAATTTGCAGTCCTTCTGCATTAGCCCTATACAAATGGACGGCAGCAGGATCATGCTTGAAGTACATACCAGCTTATTCTTGGAGAGGGTGAAAAAGTTCAAACCTACTGAGAGAACAGCTACATTAATAATTTGCTAAACTACGTGGCTAGCTGCATTTGAGTTCTAGTTACCTGTTTGGCTGGTTTTCTTGGACTGTATCTTTAAATGTAAGTTTTACAACTTATTTTTATTGTCTCAAAAGTCTGACTAGAGCTTGCACGTATTCTCCGGGATTTCCGTGACGGGCTGCTCACAGTCCACCAACCATGGGAAGTTTTCCTTCAATTTTGGTAGCAACTTAAGTGGTATTGACATCTAGTGACTGAGAAATTCATAAACAACAGCCTTTCCACAGTTCAAATTTTACTTACGAGGAAAAAAGGCAGCAGTTCTTGAGCTGTTTTTCCCAAGAGAGCAGGCACAGATGGAGCCCGAATTAGAGCACAGGGCTTCTGGCTGCCAGCCTGATGCTCCAGCAAGGAAACTACACTTCTGCTAGTAATAGTAACACAGCCTCCCCTTTTAGAAGTACTGTATGAAATATGTTACACAACTCTTGCTGATTCATAGGCTTGCATCACTCTCAAAACAAATGATCAATTAAAGTTATCTCATGTTGCTGGAGGTTTTGATTGTTTTTTACAGTTGCATAATCAATTTTTGGAATTAACTACAACATGAATTTAGTCTGCCAGAACACGTTCCCTATTTCTACTATTTTTATTTCTTCCAGACAACCCATTTGGAAAACAAAATGCTTAGATCTTTCTACAGCTGTAATAATGCGCTGTGAGGAAACAATTTACCTTTTCCAATCTGCAATTTTGTACTACCTGCTCAGCCATGCTGTCAGTAGGAAAGCACTTCTGATTCGAAACTGATGCTCAATCCTGAAGTAGCTAGCTTGCATTCGCTGCAGAAGTGGTGGATAGTTTGCATGGAAAAAAAAAAATATAAATATCCACTCTTCCGAATTTTGTACTCCACATGCATTTCAAGGCTCTGCCCAGCTCTTCTGTATGGCTTCAGAAGTCCGAAAAGCTGGAAGACTGCCCAAGCGGTGGAGCCAGTAATTACTTCTGCTAGAAACACCAGCTGCCAGCTTCCATGCCACCTGCCCCTCTCCCTTCCACAAAGAAGTGCCGCAGAGGCATTCGTGGGGCACAGCAAAGCATATGGTATCCCACCAAATTCCTGGTCAGCCCAGAGGTCTCCGTGGAGCTACAACTGTGGTCTCCTGGAACAGACTGCAGACAGCACTGACATACACCTCGGGCCATGCTGGCTCCCGTCAAGCCCAGCTCTGTTTTCAGTGGAACAATGCCAACTCGCATCTAGGTGAGTATCTGGCTCCAGTACACAAATATGGGGTAATTCTAGTAATTGCCCCATATAATAATTCTAATTTCATCAAAACCTTTTCTTCCATGCTTGAGGCAGAAACGTGCCTGCATCAACCTATTCCACGTAAATATACCTATACACCACAGCTGAATAGTACAACCTTACATGTGTGATTTATTAAGACAAAGAATTCTACTTTAATAGGTCTGATTTTAAAAAAGTTTATATATAAACACAAAGTGTGAAATATTTTTCATGTTATACCCTGACAGACAAATTTATGTTCTTAAAATGGCTTCACATATGCAAATTACCCCGTATGGTTTTTCCTGAAAAGTCAATTTCTAGATATCCACAAGTGAAAAATAATTGCTTTCAACTTGACTGGAAGAGCAGGTGTCCAGGAAGGCAGAATACACTAACACGTGAAAAGCCTCCTGAATGAGTTTTAACGGCTTCCAAGGTGATCATAATTTATCGGGTTCTTACCATCACACACCCATCTACACTATCATCCCAGGCAGTGGTTTGGGCAGCTGTTTCCAGAATTAAAACCGCCTAGCTCACACTCGTTTTTTTGATGGATTTACTGTCTGTTTCCTACTAGCAGAAGCTGACTCGTGTAAACCCAAATGGGAAAGACAAGATGGTCCAACAAACAAAATCTGTGCTAACAGAGGGTTTGCCTTGAGGAAAAACTTAGGAGCAGCTTCTGAATTCAGGAATTTTTGGAATTATACCAAGAAGCGCATTTGGAGGGAGGTCACTAACTGAACACTGGAATTAGATGGGATGTGCACACTAAGCAAAGAACCTGGCACGTCTTGCACTTCCCCGCGTTCCTGAATGAGCTTCGAGGGCAGCACCAAATGGAGAATGCTGCCCCAGCTCAACCCAACACAACCGAAGCAGAAATACCTGCAGTTTAAGTCTGCATCTGTCAAGGAAGGTCACAAACCAGAACCAAAGAGGGCTGAGAAGCCATCCTTGCTGCAGAGTAACTACCAGATATATCATTTTCACGCTAACATGACCTGGATTTTGGAAACGATCTGCGTAGCACATACAGGACAGATACTTACCTCTCTCAAGTTGCTTTTTGTAATACGATCCAGTGCAGTTCTTCTAGGAACACTCAAGCAGCTATTTACAAGCCAAAGCATTGATCTATTGCAGTCATATGGTAACAGCAACATTTAGCTCTGTGGGTTATTACAGAGGCACTGCTTTTTTTAAACCAAAGGGCATTGGTATCTAGGACACCAGCCAACCCATGTGTGATTAGGTATGAAGTTTCTCAAATGAATCTGTTGTCATGACCAACAGAAAATAAAAACACTGTCCCCACTTGACAAGGTTCAGCACTATCTATCTGATCAGGTCCTAAAACTGGCAATGAACTAGCTCCCCTGTAAAATGATAGATAATGAATCTTGAAGGCAAGATCCTTCAGCAGAGATGCAGAAAAGGTGAAGCACACTCATTGAAATGATCAAGACTCTGTACTTACTTGCTTTTTCTTGTAGAACCCCTTCTTGTCACAATTTGGAATATGAAAGCCCCTGGGACTCAAGACATTCAGGATCTTTAGGTGGTTTAAAGTGTCTTCCATTTCTCTACGACAGGGACCCTGTTAACAAGCACATTTTAGAAAGCACAGATGAAACTTCATTCCCAAGTTCTCTCTTTCACACAAGAGTTAATAATCCTTTAAAGGGCAAGAAGCACAAACCCAAACAAACACATTAAAACGAAGGGATGGCTGGATACAGCAAAAGGCAGACTATTCTTCTGACTTTCTGCTTCACTCAGGATGAACTGATTTCTAAACACTGAAGGCCCTATGCTATGCTGAGGCACAGACTGACATTTCCAGTTGAAATCACAGGCGCATATACATACAGGGAGGCTTAACCAGCATGTAAATCAAGCATATATAACATAACTTAGATTTGGAAAAGCTGGCCTTGCATCAAGTGGGAAAAGAAGGGTATGCAACTAGAATTGCAATACTTGGTAGATTTTTTTCCTAATGGCATTTGATTTTTGCGATTCTGCTGGATTTGAAAGTTTAAATGAAATGGATTTAGTTGAAAACAAGTAGTTTAGCGTAATGTATATGTATAAAAGTACTGCAACTTTGGACAACAGTCCCCAATTTCAACTGGACTAAATGGAAGCAGCCATGCAAAAGCACTGGTTACATACAACAGTCTCATTAGGTAAGCATGTCACTTTTTGCCTCACTTTCTCCACCTGCAAAAGGCAACAACAACATAGTGAGGATCAGCTCGAGGACAAGGAGCCAAAAAGAACTTCCAGAAGCACTTTTAAGAGCATGTCTCATACACCAGCTAATTATTTCTCACTGCAGCCCTTCAGGGTAGGGAGTAAGGTGTTACAAGCTCCACTCTGCAGTCAGAAAACCAGGAACGGAGGAGTTCACGTTTTGCCAGGGGCCAAGGCAGCAGCCTGTGTCAGCAGCGGGATGGGGATCCCAGAGTCGCAGCCTGCAAACTCTGTGCTCACCTACGCTCCTGCCTGGGCACGATACTGACTCGGTCCCACTTCTTCAGCGGAGACCCGAAAAAAATTCCTTTGCATGGTTGCATGGGTTTAAAATGTTTAAGTTGCTGTATCAACACAAAGACTCGTTTGGTGCAATTTTTAATTAGCGAAGTAATGACATTTATACTTTCAAGACGTAATATTAGTAGTTTGCTCACGCAAAGTGCCTTTCATGTGAGTGTCTGAAAGCATATAGACTCCACAGTTCTACTGGAGTTTAAAATTTATTTTTTTTTTTTGGTTAGCAAAGACCTTCCTTGCTGCATTCATATGTTTTCTTTCAGTATCAATCTCACAAGCTCCAAACACGCGCTTTATATTACTGCTCTTATTGGCAGTTCCTTAAAAAAACCCAAACTGCTCAGACATGCTGACTGCAAATCACACACGTTCAAATATTTGGTCCCAAGTTAGGCCTGCAAAAAGATCAACAGCTTTCTTTTAATTATTATTTTGAAGCAGGCTTCCAAAGTCAGAGATCGATATCAAAAGCTAACACGCAGACACAACCAGAAGGGCATTTGCTGACAAAGGCACCTGCCCCTGACAAACTTACTTCTGGTTCTCGCAGACACCAGGAACCTTGCTAAACTGCTGTGCTTTTGCTCATGGGACCAGACTACCACGAGTAAAACATTCATCCTAGTTAAGACCATGACCCCACTTCATCAGAGCTACCGAAGTTCATTCTTTTATTGCAGGGCAGTTTACTGCATGTTTTGGGGAGGAGGACAAGCTGGAAGGCAGATACTGAAGTGTTTTTCCTAGGTGGCTGGACATCAGTGACAAACTGCACATGCAGCTTCGCCACCCTTGCTGCATTAACTTGGAGGCCACGCTCTCTCCAGACACAACTTTCCACCACATACAGGTTTCAAAACCTTCTTTGCAGATGGGAAAGCCACGACTGGTTTCACCACAACCATCCTGACAGAACGCCAACATATATCCAGACGTCTGGCACAGGCACAAGGATAACCACCGGCTCATCAGCTGGGATGTCCAGGAAGAAGGATTTTTCTCCCCTCAGATTCAGCGCACTCCGGCTGCCCTGCAAATCCACTGGGCACAGTCGGTCGGGAGGAATGGCAGCTCCTATGCCCAGGAGCTTTCTGCATTTAGGCAGTGGCACCAAGCAGGGCCTGCAAGTGGAGGTGGTGCTCAGCACATCACATGAACAGTGACTGGCCAGTCAAGATCCTAATCCCGGCCTAAGTGTGCCTCCCTTGACTTGTGCCACGGAGTATGAACACTGTGCCACTACACTGAACGTGAAACATCTTTTTTTCCATTACTGCAACCCAATAACGCTGTTTGCAACCAAACTGTCCGATGACACTACTAAACGTGTCCTGAGGCCACTTGCACAAATGAGGGGCAATTACAGGAGGGAAACAAGGGCCTTCTATAGCTAAGAAATTATTCAGGGAAAATCATATTTGTATCAGTGTCATTGTGTTAGGCCTCTGTGTTGTCTGAACGTGATCTGCTCGGTCTGCTACTGTCTGCATTTGCATATGCGACAGTTTTACTGGTGAAATAGTTAGAATGCCCTAAATGGGTAAGACAATTACCACCGCTTGGTTATTTATGTTGTCGTATGCACAACACGACATGCATATACATACACACGCACACTCAGATGCTGGGAAATGCCTTTCCATTTACAGAAGTACTTACGTATTCAGTCTCTTGTTTGGATTCAGAAGAGAAATTCAGTGTATCCGTACTCTGAGAATCATATTCCACTTTATAGCGCTGCGTATTTTTGGCTTGCACTTTCCTGATAATATCTATTTTGATGTGCGGTGGATGCGATTTGGTATCCGGCACCCTGTGAGAGTTGGGGATGGCCTGATTTTCTATGCTGCTGGCACTCCGGTCTTCTTCTTCGGAATCACTGGAATTTCCTTCGAGAAGAACATAATGCAGGAAAGAAACTGCGTTAATCAACTGCCAGCTGTGCCCGGAAGGGGCTGCGAGCCACCACCGCACCAGCCCATGTGCTTAGTTCCCCCCGCCCCCACAAAAAACAGGAGTTGGGGGAAGAATGGATGAGCAGCCCAGCGTTCCCGCACGCATCCAGCACCCCCCTCCTCGCCAAGCCAGGCCACCTCCCTTCGCCGCCGGTAGCCCGGCAAGGTGCCCCCCATCGCCACCCCCCCCCCCCCCGCCGGGACCGCCGCAGCCCCGCCCGCCCCAGCCCCACCGGCGCCGCGGGCGCGGAGCCTTCTCCTCCGCGGCTGCTGACCGAGGGCTGATTGACTCAGCTTCACTGAAACGCGGCTGGCTTGGGTAACTTAGGGGCTGTACTGTAACTCTTTGTCTTCCCCGGGAAGGTAATTTTTTTTAATTTTTTTTTTATTTTTTTTTTTTTCACAAAGAGGCATTAATATAATAAATTCTACCCCGTTGTTTCACGGTTCTTGTTAGCTATTTTAAACACTTAATCTTATTCAACATACAAGGCAGAGTGGGGAAAAAAAAAAAAAAAAAAAAAGGGCAAAACCCCAGCATGTTTTCATTCTTCTGCTATTAAAATCAGAAACATTCCTAGGTGTACAAAATACACGTTAAAGGTAACAAGACAAAAAAAACGCTTCATTCTGTAACGGTGTCAAAGGTAAAACATCTGCTTTCACCACGAGCATCAAAAATATTTTCTCTTTAAACTACCACCCACAAAAATACAGGAGAAACACATTTTTCCAAAATACTGCATAAACCCAGTGTTCCTGTCCCCTCCAAGGTATTTGTCTACACTGCATTTCTCCCAAACACTCCTGCCGTGTAACTGTAACTGCTGCATTTCCTCCAGGGAATTTTTCAAGTTTGGATATTCCTATCAGCCAAGTAACTAAGTACCACTAGTTGCTGCCTTGGCTGCTGGCCACTTTTTTTGTTGTTGTTACAAGGAAATCATATTGGGAGTGCACAACGATAACTGATGTGCAAGGAACACCCTGGAAATTTGTATGGTCATTGATGGCTCACTGAAAAACGGCAAAAGCCAGGAAATTCAGTGCCAAACCCGAAAGCCCATCTTCACGTAGCCCACCGACTAAATATTTCAGCACAGGCAGCACAGTGGCACTGCCAATACACAGGGACAGGGGAGGAACAGGGGGAAGGATCCGAGTTAACATCTTGGTACCTGTGGTTTCTGTGTAGCCGCTGCTGGCAATGGACATAATTGATCAGAAAATCCAACTCCCAGTGCAAATGGATTAAGGAAGTTTAAGTCTTAAGACTAAATTTCCTGGCTTTTGTGGGTTTAACTCAGACTCTCGGTGGTATTTGAACATATTTTTGGTGGTTTAATGTCCTGTTTTTAAACAGTGGTATTTTTCCACATTCTCAATGAATTTTGCAATAAATGACACAACGAAACGTTATAAACCCAAATCTCCTAAATGTAAATACTATGTCTACTAGGTTTTCTGCAATCAGTTCATTTCATTAGTTTGCCCCCTCTACCAAAAATAAGTAGAAATATTTTTATGTGCATTCAATAACTACCAGACTGGTCCTTTCAGTTTTAGGCAGACCATGATGTTTCAACAGCACTTCTTACACTTCAATCTGGAACGGCTGTAATGCCACATTTTAAACTGTAAAGCATATTTGATTAAGTCAGTTTCACAAAACGTGGTGCCACTTTAGCTTTACACCCTCCTAACAGCAACAAAACTGCTATGAGAGTTACTTGCTCTCTTTTAAAAAGCAGATTAGAAGGGCTGCACATGCACACTACCACTTAACACTTTCGTGACTAAAAAAACCCAACTGGAAAGTAAAGTCAGTGGCCTACTGTAGTTGCTATTTCTCAAACACATATAATTTTAAGTACGTTTCTTTTCCGAGTTAAGTATAGGTGGCCCGTCCACCTGCGTTCAAACTGGTAAAAATTTAGTCCAATCCAATAATCAATGTCCATTTCCAGTTTTAAAGACGCGTCATAAAAAGAACAAGTCCCCACATACTATGTTAGATTTCCATCACTCTGATCGTTTTCCCACCTGATCTAATCCCTCTACGATCCTTCCATGTCGGCTCTTCCCACCATTTTATTTTTTTTTTGTTGTTTAAAAGTAATACAGTGTACAAACATTACAACTACAGGGTGATAATCCAATTAGACATTCACTACAGTTCTTACCTTACTACTAAACATGTGACCAATATCAACAGAGGAAAATAATGCACAATTGGACAATGGACGTGCAACTTTGTCTTGCCGAGAACCAGAGAGTCCCAATTCTATCAACAATTTGTAATTGCCCTGGTACCACACGCACCCCCAAGGGAAAGCCCACGAATTTAATAGTTGTTGCGTTAGTCAATTCCTGAATTTGATCTTTCAAACGCTGGTATTTTTAAATTTTCTCTTTTGCAGCATCCTCTAAGGATGTTGTCTTGCCTTCATATCTAATGGTTCCATCTACTACAATTGCTGTCTCCTCTTTTACAAATACCAAATCGCGTTTAAATAGTTCTTTTTTCTCGTCTCGAATCAACGGTTCTTGGAATGTAATCCCTTCCTTCTTCTTTGCCTCCTCACTCAGTAATTCACAAATTTGATTATGTCTTTTTATTCTGGCATCTTGCACCACCGGGCAATATCCAATGATAAGCGAACAGCTCTCAATTTCCGCCCCACAATGATGACACGATCTTACTTGTGTCCCTTGCCTACCCCTTGCTAGAAATTCCCTTGTTGGGTAGACATTAGCCTGTAATTGTAAAGCGACGACAATCTTTCTCTGAGGAATGCCCCTCTTTTTCCAACTCAAAAGGAGCTGCTGTAATATACACCGCCTCATACCGATTTCTAGCAATTCTGGTGAACTAGGAACGACCCAAAGTGCAGCGTGTGATGCAGGACCTAGATGTGTGTAAGGGAGATGATGTCATCCCGCTCCGGGAGGGTGCGTGCCAGGGAGTGCTGGATTTAGAGCTGGAACTGGCCCCGGCTGGGAGGTGGGCACTACATGGCACTAGACGTTCCGCGTACTTCTTCCTTCCGGCACCTCAGGTTTGCAATCTCCGCTACTTGAATGGGAGCCGTCAGCGTCCTAACTTTGCACTTTTTAAGGAATCAAAGCTCCCACGGATTTCAAAAATCGGAGTTGTCCCTCAGCCAAGAATTCAGAAACAGGAACTCGGCGTTTTGACTCTTTAGGCTGAAAGTGGGAAGATTTTCAGCAAAGTGCAGCTCTGCCTTCCCCTTTCCCCTTCTCTAACAGTCACTGTGAGAAGCACTACCCCTCCTTTAACTCTCAAGTATGGAGGAGAGGCCCCTCGTTTCTTATTCATGTGAAGGATGAATATGCAGAGCCAAGTTCATGTGATGAGGGAAGCTGCTCCCACGTTCCAACGAGATTTAAAACTCCGGCGAGCACTTCTGAATGCTCATTCAAATTGTCACAGCTTGGGAGCAGCACATAAATCACTATAATAAGGCATCTCCTACTCTCATAGCAGCCAGTGAACTGAAGCACTGGTGCCACTTCCTCAGCTAAGGAGAGGCCAGCCAAAGAGTCCCTAAAACCTAACAGAAAAACTCCTGCCTTTTTAAAAAGCAAACAGTGGAAAAGCCGTTTGACATACTTTTCTATTAAATAAATGTTAACATACTCGCTGCTGGTTAGCAAACAGTTTGATGAAATGTTTGCACAGAGGGACTGTGCTTTCTTGATCGGAATCCCAAGTTTCCCTGTCTTAAGTTTCCAAATGTGCATGCTAACAGAACTTGTTCCAACCGTCCCTTCCTCTTCAAACAAAACAAAACCCGCTCTGTGAACGTCTCATTTACAAGACATGGAAGAGGTACGGGAAAGCTTCGTTTGACCAAAGATTTATTTGCAGTGCAGGCAAAAAACCCAACGTCCTCTTAAATACTGCTGTGCAAAACTCTTTGTTCTGAATAACCACCTTCCCAGGCCAGGGGAATATTTAACCCCCTTTTTTTTTTTTTTTTTTTTTTTTTTTTTTTAATTCCCCCCTCCCCCGCGCCCTGTGCCGAGCATTCCCCTGACTCGGTCACGCTGCCGCGCGTAAATTAGCCCACACCCTCCGGTTTTCTCGCACCCTCTTTCCAGGAACACTGGGGACAAACCTCGAGGATGTCACCCTCTCTTTTTCTCGCGCCCTCTTTCCAGGAACACTGGGGACAAACCTCGGGGATGTCACCCTCCCTCCACCCAGGCTCTGCAGCCTGGCAGCCCCACGCACCCGCAGAAGCAACATGCGACACACACACACACACACACACATACCCCCTATTTTTTTTTTTAAAAAAGAGCAACTTTTGCGAGGAGCTACTTCTTAGCGCCGGCGCCGAGGGAAAGGGATAGATACGTAAATAAGGTAGAACAGGTAATTCGCCTTTTCCTTCGGCAAAGGCACCCCTCCTTCCAACCCATCTCGGCTACGCGGCTGCCCGAGGAGCCCCCGCGGGAGCGGCGAGAAACCGGAGGCACTGCTCTGCAGCGAGCCTGCCCGCGCCTGACTTTAAGTTAATTTTTTTTTTTTTTTTTTAAAAAAAAAAAAAGGGCAAAGCGAGGGAACGGCGAGCCAGCGAAGCGCCGCGCCCGCAGCCCGCCCCCTCCCGCTCCTTCGCCCCCCGTCCCCGCGGCGCAGGCTCCCCCCCCCCCCCCCCGTCCTTACCTGCAGCATGCGGTCCGGGCAGGAGGAACGCCCGCAGCTTGCCGCCCGCCGTGGCGTTGGTGCAGAGCCCGCGGCCCTCCAGCAGCGCCTGCAGCGGCCGCGCCTCCTCCCGCCGCGGCTGGCAGCCCAGCCCGGCGCCGCAGCGCTCGGTGTAGATGCCGCAGGGCTGGCCGGCTCGCAGGGCGCAGGTGAAGCAGCAGCCGCAGCCCGGTTCCCTCACGCGTTCGGCGCAGTCGGGCCGCAGGGGCCTGCAGTGCTGCAGCGCCCGGGCGTCGCAGGGCTCGCACCGAACCACCGGCCCCGCCGCCGCCCGCCGCGCCAGCAGCGCCAGCGCCGCCGCCACTGCCCACAGCACGCCGGGCCGCGGCACCATGGCAACCGCCGGAGGAGGAGGAAGGAGGAGGAAGAGGGGCGGAGGGGGGGGGGGGCCGCCCCCCGCGCTCCGGGGAGAGCCCCGCAGCCCGCCCGAGCCGCTCGGACCCCCCCCTCGGCCGGCGCCTCCTTCCTCCGCCGCCTGCCCTTAATCACATCAAGGTAATTAAGAGCTCGCGAGCAACAAAGGCAACTTTTTCCTTCTTTCCCCCACCGCCCTCCCTGCAGCCTGCAGAGCGCCTGGATCACTTGGCCCGCCACGAACTTTTTTTTTTTTTTTTTTCTCTTTTTTTTTTTTTTTTTGGCCACACACAACACTCAGGAAAAAAAGCAAAAAAAAAAAAAAAAAAAAAAAAGAAAAAAGCTTTGCAAAAGTAAAAAAAAAAAAAAAATTAAAAAATATTAAAGCTAAGCCCACACGGTCTGAAGAAAACTTGGTCCAAAAAAACGCTTCAGAAAAGTAAAGAAGAGCGGAGGTGAGGGAGAGGAGGTTAAAAAAAAAAAAAAAAAATTAAAGCGAGGTTCCCTTCTTTTTATTCTCTCCGCCCGGGCCCCCTCCCCGCCACTCCGCGCCCATCTGTCCCCCCGCGCCGCCCGGCCCGCCCTATATAGGCCCGTGGCCGCCGGCCCGCCCCGCGCCATGAATAACGAGCGGCGCGGCGCGGCGGGGAGCGGCGGCCCCCGCCAAATCCAGGTTTCGGTCAGGGAGGGCTGTGAGGGCGGTGCGGGGGGGGGGGGGGCGGGGGGCGCGGCGGGGCCGGGGGTTTGTGGGCACTTCTTAGAAATCAGCTGTAAGGGGTATGGCCCTGGGGAGGAGGAAAAGGAGGAGGAGGAGGAGGAGGGGGGAAGGGTGTGGGGGGGGTACGTCGTGTGCCTTTTGTTTCGAGAAAAAGTGCTTTCCGGGTGCGTGTGTGCGTGTGTTTTCTTGGCCCCGGGAGAGGAGACGGGAGCGAAGCTCGCGGAGGGTGCCCTTTTTTGAACCGCCAGTTGCAATCCCTGCCCGCTTCGGGGCTGCGAGCCCCGGCCCATCGCGGAGGCGTGCCTGCGCTCGCCCACGCACCCACTCGCGCCCGCCGAGGCTCGGGCCGCGCCACGGGGCCGGCTTGGCAGTGCCCAGCGCGGCTTGCGCTCCCCCGGAGGGTGCGGAGAGCGGGGCATACGCGCCCAAGTGCGTTACTTTCGCACAGGCGTTGCTCTCTGGCGCAGGACCCGGTCCACGCCGTGCCCCAGCCCCGGGGATGCGCCTCCCTATCCTTCTGTAAGTGTTTTCTGAGCTCTTAAAGCTTTTCCCACCGTCCAGTAAGAAAACGGTTTCTATTGGGGGGGGGGGGGGGGGGGGAGGGAGAAGACAAAAAACAACCCAACCAACCAACCCCCAAGAGCCCCAACAGTGAAATGCTGCGTCGATTTTGCACAGCGGATGCGTTTTCATTCTGTTTGTAGCCACTGCAGATTCAGCCCCCCTGTTCTGCTTGGTTTACTCCTTACCCCCCTTTAACGTGGCTTAACTTTGATGGAGAAAATCTGAATTGGCAATGCCAAAATTTGTGACCATCCTTTCCGAAGCTCTCCTGCGAGCTGATGCAGAAGGGGCTGCTGAGGCATATCAGTAGACATCTATCTGGTGTTTCAGCCATTGGAGCCTGCACTTCATGCCAAATAAAATCAATAATGCTTACAGATACTGGTTTATACAAATACATTGTGCCGTGGGAATTGCAAGAGCCAGACTACTGCTCTGCTTTCAACCCCTTGAAGCGCACCTTCCAGTAATTCATCGGCTGTTCGTGTGTCTATACTCAAGTGGAAGAGTGGAGTATATACGTTACTGCTCAAGGTACTAGTCATGATACTGCAAATCTCGAAAACTGCATTTTTTACAAATCAGATAATTTTTAGATAATTAGAATCAGCTATTCAGTTTGTTTTCTCTGATCTTTAGTCAGTAATGATACCTTTCAGATACCATCTTGAAAGAGGCACTGTACGTAGCAGGATAAAAAAATATCTGACTTTATGTGTGAAGAATATGGTGTAAGAGTCGAGACTTTTCCTCGGGAAATTAAAGATGTGTTGGAAGAGAGATCAGCCTTGCTCAATGACCCGAAGGGTGACTGCACCAAGGCTTTTCAGCCTTCTTTTGTCCTCTTGCTCATTTTGTTAACTGACCAAAAGAGGTCGCAGGTTGTCCAGAATTGAATTAGAGACTCAAGAAATCTGTGTGAGCCCATCTACAAAGGAGGAATTGATCAAGCACAATGTACTGCATGTTTGGCTTCAGGGTTGGGGTTTTTTGGTTTGGTTTGGTTATGTGGGTTGGGTTTGTTTTGTTTTTGTTTTGGTTTTGTTTGCTTGTTTGTTTTTTTGTTTTGTTTTGTTTTTTTTGTTTGGTTTTTGGTTTTTGTTTTTTGTTTGTTTTTTTTGTTGTTGTTTTTTTAGACTACTGCATGAAAGCTTGCTGTCACTTTTTTTTATTTTCCTTTGGTTTTAATAAATGTTTATAGGTGGTGAAGTCTGAAAATATCCGGGATTGTCTGGTGGTGTGCATCATGAGAACTCAGGTTAGGTCTAGCAGAAAGAGAAGGCCTTCTTCCTCTCTGCTCTAGCACCAACACGGTAGGGTAGCACTGTACACTGTATAAATAGGGGCATCTTTGCAGTTGGGGTGAGCTTTTACAGCATACTGCTTTCAAAACTGAAACGATGATGCAGGGGAAATGCTGACAAGATAAGTAAAATGGGGCAAAGAGAATTAGGGGATGGAAGGGATGACAGAGAGCAACCCTTTTCCTTCACCACAGTCATACACCTCTTACTTACATGCTAATACCAGTGTAAGTTGTATTTCAAACTGTGGCATGACTGTTTTTATCAAGCTGGAATTTGATTCCCACCAACAAAAAGATTTTTTTTTCTTTCTTTTATAACATTCCACAAACTTTGTGGTATACCATTTTGGAGTCCTGTTAGTAGAAGGAGATGTTTGCAATGTCACCAAATAAAAGTGCTCTGGTTTTTATTTTAAATACGCGGTTGGTGAACCTAGTATATATTTTGAAATAGCATAAATCCAAGTTAATGAAACATCAGGGCACCCAAATGGAAAATTAACACTGTCAAAGATGTGGCTGAATCACCTTTGCAGTAAGTGAGTAGAAAGCCAGCGATGTGCCAAAGATCAGGTCAGCCTAACAGCTTTTGCTAAACAAATAGCTATTTGCACTGTCTTAACCAGTGGGCACTGCATGACAGTGCATTTATCTGAATGACAGAATTTGGTTCAAAGCCCTCCTTGGCAATCAGAAGATGAATACCAATGTATCTGGAAAGCCAGATAAAAAAAATTACAAAGAAAAACCCTAAAACCTCCCAACGCACACCCAGAGTTAACAGCTGAATTATACTTACAGACAAAACCTTAGTAATATTGATGGAACTCTCCCATGTGGACAAGGCCAAGGGCTAAATATGCAACATAGCAATGATTATAATACTGTACAAAATCCGAACTTCCGCGCTTACTATTCTAGAGGCTTTACAATTTTTTTCTGGTTTATTCAGTTTTGTCAGGGAAGAGGGAGAGACAAAAGTCATATAGAGTTATACTGAACTTCTACCATCTGTTCTAGACGATGGAGAGCAGAAGAGGAACAACCGAAAGGTGCCGTGCTTCAGAGAATCTCACGTACTCCTCCCATTGCTCTAGAGAGTGAAAGTGCAATTTATGGAAGCACAAAAAGGATGCGCTTTATTTCCCCTTCCACTTTATCCTCCTGCCTCCTTCGTAATTCAGCTCCCTCTCTTCTCTGGTCCGTTAGCTGAGCTCACACCTTCCGTGTACTTGTTTATTGGTGGCTCTGTTTGCTACAAGGACTAGTCATGGGAACTGGAGTTGTGGTTGAAGTAGCTCTACTTTCCGCTGCATGGCCACATTACATTTTGGAGCAATCCAGAATTTTTAGTATAGTCCCATTGTACTGCATATGGCTTTACTACCCAAAATTTAACTATCAAGAATGTGAGCTTCCCTGTACAATGCCATTTTAAAACTTGTATAATTTTTCAACTCTTTTCCTTGTTCAGACCAAAGCAAAACCTTCACAGAAATCTAGAGATACGTAGCGCATCTTGGGTTGAGGGCTAAATCCACATTTGCAAAGCATCCTTTTATTTGGGTCTCTCTGCTCTTCTTTTTGCAGACTTTGGAGTTTTATGTACAATAAACTTCTGAAGTCAGCAGAAAGGAGCATTTCCTCAATATGTTCTTGTTTTTTGGAAGAATACTCAGATTTACCATGAAGTCAGTTGACACAATATGTACTTCAAACTTAATTTAAATGATACTTTCTAAATCACTGTTTTCACAAAGGCGAGGATTAAGACTTCAGCATTATTTGTCACCTGTCTGTAAAAATAGTTTAATGAAAATTTCCTGCAGACCTGTTCCTGATTTGGGGCTAGAAATGAACATCTCGGGTGTTTTCCAGTTCCCCCTTTTAAGCCAAGTGTTCAGGCTTACGAATTAGAAAACTGTACTGGATCCCTCACAAATGCCACCCTGCGCTCCTTGACTGAAGGTGGCAATCTGAGTTCAATGTGACAGAACAAACGAGAACTGAATTTGGAAGCAGATAAAATTAGGAAACCAAAGGAGAAATAACAAATCCTTTGTGGGGAAGTCAACTGAATTGAGACATTTTACACATTATTAGACTTTTCAGGATTTGTTCCTTTTGTTGCCACCAGAGGCATATGTAATCAAAGGACCTATATTGACGGTATTACAGAAACAGTTACCAAACACTTCCCTCCACTAATTGAGATGTCTAGTTAACCATAACAGAAGAAGGGAAGATAGCTGATAGGTTTCCCATTACAAAGCTCTTATCCAGAGAGGTGTTCATCTCTTTTATGTACTAGTTAGACATTATATAGTGTGTCATGGCAATAAAAATCTTACGGAATTTAAAGAGAACAGGGGGATTAGAGGGAGGAGGAAATGAAGGAGAAGTTCTAGCTCTCAGGACTTCTTCATAAGAAGAGAAGAGATTGCTGCTGGACCAGATGTTCTCCATACCCACACCACAGCCATCAATCTGGGTATTGTGCAAGTTCCAAAATGGGGGTGTCGTAAGAGGTAAAAGGAGAAATGCTGCTGCTTCAAAAGTGTTGTCTGATGGAGCTAGATTTACTGACACTTTAACTTCTGTCCGCAAGTGAAAAACCAACCATCCTACCTTAAAACCTCAGTGAAGTGTTGAAGTGGAAAAATAAGTGATTTTGGATTACTGGAAGCAGACTGCAGCTGAGACTGGAGTGCATGGAGATCTGA